TGTGTGTGTGTTGTGTGTGTGTGTGCGTTCGTGCGTGCGTGCGTGCGCGTTTAAGTGTAAGTGTTGTGTAAGTGTAAACGAGCGCATGCACAGAACCCATTAAGCTTCTGGCTTTGTTTGACTCGTATATTTGTCTTCCCTGCCCCTCCCCCCTCCCTTCCTCCCTTTTCCTCCTCCTTCCCCGCCACTTTTTTTTCCTGCCTCCTTATTACCCGCCACTTGTTTTTCCTCCCTCATCCTCCTCATCCATCTCCCCTTTCGCTGCTCAAGTAATAATAGATCTAATAATAATATCCGGACCCGCGAACTGGTCTTTCCGGACAAACTAACGTAGCAGCTCTCTGCGGGTGGAGGCAAAATAAAAAAGAGGGCGGAGGAGGGGGGTAGGTTGGATGGATGGGTGGGTGAAGAAAGGATGGATGGACTGAAGGCAGGCGGTGGATGGATAGATGGATGGATGGACTGACGGCAGGCGATGGATGGATGGATGAATGAATGAATAGATGGGTGGGTGGGTGGGTGGATGGCCTTGTGTTGTTAACGAGCCGCGCGATGAGGCCTGGCCTAGGCTAGGCTAGCAGTCTGCCGGCGGCGCACACCACCACTCACCTTTCCCCTCCCGTCACGAGCGTTCCAGCAGCTTCAGACTCACAGCCGTGCGTGCGTGAGTGCGTGCCTGCGTGCGTGCGCTCAGTCAGTCGGGGGGTGTGCTGCTGTATCCGAGGATAATGTGTTGTTGTTCTCATGTGTAGAGCAAGAGCTAGCTGCTGGTTTCCGATAGTAGACGAGAGCCGACGTCGTAGTCATAGGGACCGGGCAGCCGAGCCTTTGACTCGCGTCCACGGGAATTAAGTACATACACCCGGAGAGTGAGTAAAAACGGGAGACACTTTCTACATGACTGAAGTGTGTACGTTTCAACGAAACCCCAGAGGACGTGTGTGTAAATCGAAGTCAGGTGTGTGTGTGTGTTTTCGTGAATTCACATGAAATAATGTTATAATGCGAGTCTGGTCTACTAACACCAACAGTGTGAACGATTCTACACATCTTTTTTGGGTTCATTCAGTCGAGTTTGGCATTTTGTTTAGTTGTTCGGAGCTTTCGTTTCTTTCTCATCATATTTATAAATATTTATTTTCCTTTATTATTTCACGGGATTGTTGGAAGGTGCTTCACAGGGTAAGTCCATACCGTCGTCCTCCCGTATTGCTTCTCTGACATCTAGATCTAGCTTTTTTCCCAGCACTTTCTCAAACCGGGTTATATTCTGTCTAGGTTTATATTATACTCTCGCTAAGTCATGCTAAATACTACGAGGGGTTAAGAGTTTACAACTCGTGTGTCTTTAGGACCTTGAGTTGCCATGTTCACATCCCTTTTCTATCATTGCTATACTTTTTGTGGGAGACTGGTGAATCCTCTCTGGCCTAGTTTGCTTTTTTTAAACTTGTTTTTTCTTTGTCGCCATTGTCGCCGTCAGTTCTTTGTAGAGTCTGACCGACTTAGCTCATGTTGGTTTTTATCACTTACTACCTAATACAGTTGATGTGCCACCTCAAATACTTCTGCCACTCATCTGTTTTCTTTTCTCCTTTTCCCTTTCTCTCTCC